GGGGGGGACACGGAGGGTGATGTCCAGTGGGATTTTGAAAGGGCCGATTGTAAGAAGTTACCATGCCATGGAATATCAGAGCAGGTCTGACCTCGGAGCACTGATCCCAGCCTTAAGCATAAGAACACCTAACACAGGGAGAGGTCCAGGGGCTTGATGGAAGTGGCCCCTATGGTTGAGGAAATGCCCTTGGAGTTTCCTATCTTTTTTAAAAAAAGTATACTCCATATTTCCCGATATGTATTTTATGTAAAAATGCTTCCATTTCACCAATCCGAATCAAATTGATGACTCAGAAGCTGCGTCATGTTTTCCCTGCGGTTTTTCACATCCCTTGGGCACTTCCACTTAGACCAACACTCTCCCTTCACAAGTAGAGTGATCCGTTCACTCGCTTTCCCAGGCTTCCTCTCCCTGCCGGGCACGGCGTTAAGAACGGGCAGTCATGATGCATAAGGATGATCCTTGCCCTCAGGGAGCTGATCATCCACGGGAAAGACAGACAGAAATGGAAGTAAGTCATTGCCTGAGACCGACCCGAAGTCCACGGTTTGGTGGTGGTGGAACTGAGACCAGCGTCCGGTTCTGCTGTGGTTCAGCGGGCTTGCTCTGCGTCACATTGCCCCTCCAAACACGGGGGACGTCGCAGAGAGAGGGTAAGCGGCGGAGGCCAGTGAGGGAGAAAGGAGCAGAGAAGGGCCGCGGTCTTTCTGGCAGGGGGAGTGCAGGCTTCCCAGGGGAAGGGGCATTTGAGCTGGGCTCTGTAGCACACGTCACCTCGTAGTCACAGAGAGGAGTTTTGCAGGTACAAGCAGGGAGGTGTTGATGGCCCTCTGCGGGGTCTTCTTGCCCGGAAAGGTTCCTTCCACTCGGGGCGCCCTCAGACATTCTAGGCATGGCCTGCAGCTGCCTGGCGCCCCGCCCTAGTGCCTTCAGTCCTTCCTGGGAGAGGCTGCCCCGTCCACATGCCCGAAGGCTACTTTGAAATAGGACTGACCCTCCGAAGCAGATCCCTCGAGATGCGGGCTCCTCTCGCTCCAGCACCATGTCTGCACTTCGGATAAGATGAAGAGGTGATGCTGAATGCGCGGGACCAAGCACTGTGGGAGGTTTTAGGCAGCGCTGTAGATTAGCACGGGGGAGATTGCCAGTTGGTGCATGATTGTTCGTGAGACCCAAGCGCTACCTCCCCGGGCACGTGACTCATCTGGCAACACACCGATCTCGGGAGGAAGCGGGAGGGAATCCGCAGGGGGAGTGGGAGGTGGGCTGCTGAAGCAGGGATCAGCAGCAGGGAGAAATGAATCACATGGAAACGTCAACGATTTCGGCCATTTATTGATGCCACGCAATGGCAGGCTACGATTACAGTCTGGTTTTAAATACTGAGGTACCCAGCAGGGTACCCCTTGAGGCTGGGCCTGGCAAAGCAGCACAGAGATGCAGGGAGACAATGGGTTGGAGGACAATAATAGGTAGATTTGTGCTTCCCAACCATGTTTTTAAAAAATGATATAACTTAAAATACTAATACTAATACTATCAGTAATATTTGAATTAGCAATACAAAAACCAGGAGTAGCGTCAAATGTGTTGGCTAAGTTGTAGCACCAGCAGTTCCCATCATGTGGTCTCTCTCTTCAAAGTGAATCACTGTGCACCGGGTGCCAGATACAGTCCCAGGGCTTTGTCTCAAAGTCAGCGGGGAGAAGAGCCGAGACCCGCGATCTCTGGGGTAGTGATGTGTTGCTTTCAGAGTTTAGAGGACTGTAGCCAATTGACCGGGAAATTATAACCTGAAGGAATATAAATCCCTCAAGCTGTGTTTCAGAAACTTAATGAAGGTTATCAAAAACATTCACTAAATGTCTGAAAGCATCACGTTGGGATGACTCTGCCAATTAGGTGTCAGGAGATAAGGTGGAAGTTCGCTCTTATTGAACAAAACCCATCATAAAGTCATTCCTAGAAAGAAGCAACTGTTTGTATCACCAAACGGTTTCTTGTTTCACTATTTAGTCTCTTGAAATATTTTTTATCATCGTGTTGAAGTATGTTTTGTGTTCAGGAATTAAATTAACTCACAACTTTTCAGAGAACTGACTTGACCACTGTGAAAGGCAATGTAAACCAAACTGGGTGTGAGAACCTAAATGTATGTGAGCACCAGGCCCTGTGGCGGCCCTCTCTGGCTCATCGGGGACCTGTGTCCAGTGTCTCCTGCTACCCTTCTCACTTGCTTGTTCAAGCTGGGAAGGAAGGAGGGCATGGATGAAATAAACCAACAATGCTGCTTCGTGTTGGCCCCTGCGAGCATCAAAGAAGTGGTGAAGACACCGTCTATGTTCTTGCCTTCAGAGCCTCCCTGATAATCTGAGGCCCCTCTCTTGTTACAAGCACAGGGACCTCTCAAAGCCCTGATGACCCAAAGCAGAGTGATTGTCAAGGCAACAACCATATCAGATGACTCCAATAGCAAGTGCTATCTTTACCCTGGGGTCCAGGTTGACAGATGCCACATAACTGTCCCACAACACAGCCTCGGGGATATCCATGATGCACAATTAGGGGCCATTATTGAGCAAAAGGCCTAAAGTGAAGCACCTGGCCAGGTCCTCCCTACATTTCTACCATCTTTGCCACATGGGTCATAAACAACGTTCTGTGTATTGGGAAAACCAGCCTAGTTAAGTTTGTTGAGGTCAGCAGGAAGCCAAGTTTGTTCCTGAGTTTTGTAAAACTGGTCCTATCAGATCCCTCATGACATGCATGACCTTCTGATAGTACAGTACCAGGTTAAACCAATCTGGTTTACTAAATTAACCCCCCTGAAAACCTACACTGCACTTCAGGGGAAGCCTTTGGGAATTGCCTCATTAGAAAAAAAATCAGGTTCTCCTCCACTCACATTTTAAGCATCTACTCTCTAAAACTGTTATTTCAAGAGGAAATGTCATCGGCCAGCAATGTTTATATTTGAAGACAGAGAACACAAAGCAGAGTGATTGTCATAATTAGTATCGAGAAATAAATTTCCTGGCTTTAGGTAAACATTTCTACTTTCCTCCTGTTTCTGGTCTATCTTGAATTTCATCCCAACCCCAGTGTTTTATGTTCCACGGACACTTATCAGAATAATAAACATTGATGGCTTGAAAAAAAATAAAAAGCACATAATATAAAAATTTTGTTTCTGGTATCCAAGCAATAGAACTGGCATTGGCCAGCAATACCGTTACAGATGGATGTGGACTTGCCCACGTCTGCATCTATCTACATGTTTTTGTTAGGTCTGCCACTGTCTAGATATTAGCACCGTTTTTCAATAGCACCATTCTGCTGAACGGATAGATAATTCAAGATATGGGACGTTGCATTCCATGGTGGATATTGACTGTACCTGTGCATGACTTTGAAATACGCTGCCCATCACATGAAGGCCACCTTCCTGCCTTCCCTCTGTCAGGAGGTGATTCTGAGGGCTCTTCCCCTCGAGGCTCCACACCCACCCACTCGCCCACCCTCTCCCTCTGAACTGAGTTCAAGAAAATACATCCTCTTAGAAACCAAGAAATTCACCTTGAATTTGAGACCATCACCTACTTTGATTCCTGTTGNCATTGAACAGAAGATGGATGTGGACTTGCCCACGTCTGCATCTATCTACATGTTTTTGTTAGGTCTGCCACTGTCTAGATATTAGCACCGTTTTTCAATAGCACCATTCTGCTGAACGGATAGATAATTCAAGATATGGGACGTTGCATTCCATGGTGGATATTGACTGTACCTGTGCATGACTTTGAAATACGCTGCCCATCACATGAAGGCCACCTTCCTGCCTTCCCTCTGTCAGGAGGTGATTCTGAGGGCTCTTCCCCTCGAGGCTCCACACCCACCCACTCGCCCACCCTCTCCCTCTGAACTGAGTTCAAGAAAATACATCCTCTTAGAAACCAAGAAATTCACCTTGAATTTGAGACCATCACCTACTTTGATTCCTGTTGGTGGTGGGAACATCCAGGATAAGCCCCCTGACTTTCATTTCTGTTTTGTGGATTCCCCTTGACTTGCCTGTTCCACCAACCCCTAAAAGACCCTCAAAAGTAACTACCGGGTGCACTGGGGCATAGGTCATCTTTACCTCACTTCTGAGGGATTTTTTTCCCCCTCCAGACTAGGAATTTGTACTAAGTTCTTGTATTAATACAATCTACCTGGTTCTTTGAGAGATTCTAACTGGGAACTCCATTTTCCCACCTGGTTGGAGGGGGTGGGGGCAGCCATGGGCCAGGATGGGCCAGGCTACAGCAGTTGTTGTGTGTAAATCCCAGCAGTAGAAAGACGTCCGACCTGAGCTGATGACTCAGGCAAGGAATGTGCCAGAGAGGGAAAGTGGGACAGGAAGACGCGTTTGCTCTTCAAGAAGGAAATTTCCCAGGAAGTGGGAGGAATAAAGGCCCACGTTCCCTTTCTTATATAGTTGACCCTTGAACAATGCAGGGGTTGGGGTGCCAAACCCTATGCAGTTGAAAATCCACATATAACTTTTGACTCCCCCAAAATGTAAGTTTTCCCTTGGTATCCGTGGGGTATTGGTTTCAGGACCCCCCCTCCCCCCGAGCCACACAGATGCCAAAATTCATGGAGGCTCAAGTCCCCTAAATAAAATGGCATAGATCAATGCATACAGTCTGCCCCCTACACCCATGGACTCCCAACTGCAGATGGAAAACACATGAGTATTTACTGAAAAAAAATTAGTGTATAAGTGGACCCATGCAGTTCAAAACCATGTTGTTCAAGGGTCAACTGTACTAGCAAGAAATTAATTTCTGTCCATTTGCTTTTTAACAGTTTTCTTAGAAATTATCCTCAGGCCAGAAATGTCCTCTGTGTAACCTAAATGCCTCAGCTTTATAAAATCCTACAGTTCCTGCCTGCTTTCTCCTATTCTAGTGCCCTAGGTGGGCATGGGAGTCTGAACAACCCAGATATACGGTCTGCAGGGATTAGGGGCAGACTGAGGGATGCAGCGGGCACTTTCTGTTCCTCTCTGCTTGAGTCCTGGGTGAAGATAGGGGTTCTCTGCCTGGGTGAACTAAGGGAATGTTCCTAAAGGCTCTCCTAGGATATTTTAAACAGCAGCTGCCCCCAGCAGAGGGGGTGTGGGGAAAGATGATTTTACCAGGTCAATTAACAAGATTCTTTGTTCCTTGGGTAAGTGTGGCTCTGTTTCCTGATACCTGGGAAAAATCTGGTCTGTTTTTCTCTTTAAAGGGTAAAAAAAGACATCATTTCACAGACTTGCCTAACCTGGTACTTTCCCAGGAGCTGAGCCCAGGAGATGCCTAATTCTCTCGGGTACCTCGCCTGCCTATCAGGGAGCAGCAGGTGTTATGGGCCCACACCTCCTGCAAGGGACAGTTTGTGGCTGATGGAACACAGTGGATTTTGTTTTGTTATGACCCAAAGTTGGTCCTGAAATGCACAGAGCAACACCTCCTGAAGTGGCTCCTGGGGTTAGCACAGGTCACAGTCAGCAGGCTGCGGCAGTCTATGGTGGCAGGTGGCTTCCTCCTGGACTTAGGACGCTTTGGGGCTTTTGAGTAACTGTGGTTTTCTTGGCCTTCGGGTGTGGACCTCGTGTGTCTGGGAGCACGAGAGGCAGCACTGAGCCTGCACAGTGGGCACAGAACATTTCTTCATGGTTTTCAGTGTCTGGCAGAAACTGGCGGATAAGTTGTCCTTGGTGCAAAGCACATCTGTGGAAGGAGAAAAAAATTAAAGAAAATACCAAAGATTATCTTTTATAAGTGAATGAGCACAACTTCTATTAATAATGGAAGGCTTTAAACGTCTACCAAGAAAGATTCCACAATAATTCATAATAATAGTGGACATCACTGAGCATTCGTTATGTATCAGGCACTGTGCAGGGTGTCTGTGTTAAACTGAATTATCAGTTATAAGTCTTCACTCCCCTGTAGCAGTGTTAAACATTCCCACCCTTGCCATGGTCGCCTGGTGGGTGAAGAATAACGCTTCTCTACTTCTGCCCTTTGGGTTCAGCTCTGTGACGCTTGGGACAATGGGACACCAGTAGACATGATCCCTGTGGGGCCTTGGAATGTGCAGAAGGGTGACCCTGCCCTGATGAGCTGCTGCCATCACCATGAGAACACGGCGTGTGCAGGCACTGAACCAAGGAGGAAGCCGAGCTCCACCAAACCTACAGCCTGCAGCCTGCAGCCTGCAGCCAAGGCCAGGCTAGATCAGCTGCACCTTAGTTGACCCACACAGGCTGAGTAAGAAATACCTGATTGTAGTTTTAAAGTCGAAAGTGTAGAGGTGCTTCGTTGTGCAATATTGCTATGCGACAGCTGAAAGCAATGTTTTACCTGCATTGCTTCATTTAATCTTCACAGCAGTGCTGTGGGATAATTACAGCTATTCTTTCTGTTTTCCAGATGAGGACTGTAAGACCTACAGAAGTTAAGAACTTGCACAATGTTATCAAGCTGATAAGCGGCGCAGCTAGATCTGGACACAGGCAGTATTGACCCTACAGCTCTTGCTTTTATCAGTCATCCATTCAGAATACCAAGCAACCCCCTAGGTGGGCAACTAACCGATGCTTTCTGAGCATCATTCAGCAGAGTGAGTAATGTGGTCCTGCCCTCCAGAGATGCACCATGGAGGGTAGGCATCAGACATACACGGGTAATTCCCATAACAAGTATATAATTAGTTACCTGGGTTCTGCTCTAACTCGCTCTGGGCAAGAAGTCCCTTAATT